TGCATCTGTCATAAGGAGTCACAAGACATTTAAGACGCTTTGGAACGAAATTTACCAGCCTGCTGAGTGCTGCCGATGGCAGCTAAGCCAGGTACACGGCTGATCATAAATCAGCGGTCTCGATAGCCTTGGCTACAGCGCAGAGATACTACCACCAGTTGAGTACTTCTCGAGCCCTGGGAAGAAGCCGTACGTTGTTGTGAAGCTGGACGAGGAGAACTACGTAATGAATTCAGAAATTGCGCGTGGGAACCTTTTTGCGACCTTCAGGTGTCGGCTAAGAACTCTGAGTTGACTTTACCATGGGAATGCTCCTCCAAAACGAAAGCGAAGCGCACTATCTGGAGCTTTACTCCCAGTAAGCTTACTGAAATGACGAAAGAAATGGCTTCCATGAAGAAAGACTCCGGTGAATTTGCCAAGAAGCTGTCATACGCGGAGTTCAGCTTCGCAAAATTTGCAAGAAGTGGGAAGATGAACAACAATACGACCATCCAAGAAATACTACGGACTGTCAATCGTCCTGTGTTATGAATCACCGCGCAGGAATCTCATCAACGCTTTGCTAATGTGCTCGTCCAAGCTCCCGGGCTGATTACTTTTTGTGCTTAGTAGGGATATTCATCATGCGACAGTGCTGGAGGAGAAGGATGATGTGTTTGACGACCGTGGTAGTTCAAGTACAAATGTATGAACAACTGGTCTTCGTTGGTGGTGAACCGTAGCCAGATCCCACGTCTTTTAGCCAACACACCCACCTTTTATCCACGACAGACGGCCAAAATAAGCGACCTCATTCAACTGGCTGGCATGACAAGTGGTGCGTCAAACGCCATCTCAATTTAACTTCTCTATAACACTTTGTGTTTCATGAAGTTAAAGGCACCCAAGAAGGTCGTCCTGCACATATGGCCGGTAAGCCTAGATTTACTACTGTTAATCTCTATCGTTGCAAAACAAGATGTATGTTTACTAGATAAAGTCGATGACGCTATTGCGTTTTTGTTAGGCAACCATGCACTGAGTCCTTGACGTGTCCTGTCTTGTTGATGATTACCAATCGCTCATATCGCAAGACACAGAACTTCTCGTACAGAGCCACACGCAAGCGATGCCGAGTTGAAAGACGCTGGTTTCGTGTTCCCGCCAATTTCTCGATCTGAGATACGTAGAGGGCAACAAGTGTTGCAGGCACTCGTTTCTTGAATAAGCCCTTCGAGCTACTCGAAAGGCTAACAGGTTTTTCATGATCTCAACTCACAACGCGTTGCCAGTGCGTGCTTCCAAGCATGCAGGTTACGATTTCATCTGATCGCACACGTGATCTTGTATTTCGTTTTTAATATCGAGTCATGTTAGTTTTCTTCATCGTCGTTCCCGATCGGTGGCAAATGTTGTTTAACTGATTGCTCGAGTAGCGATGCATTCGCTCCATCCACATCTGCGATCTGCTTGCGGTCCTAAAAACCCACGGGATCTCGTTGTTATTATGGTTGCTTCAAGGCCTAGGTAACATCAAACGTTTCTTTCTTCAACCTTAAAAAGAGGAACCGAGGCTTGCAACTGCCAGTGTCCTCGATACCATCGACGTGAAGTCCAACATTCAGCTAAAATAAACGACGATTGAGTTTCAACATCGTAGTATCGAAATGTGCGCTTACGGTCGCGAACATGACTCGACGCTCTGCGTGCTCGATGTCCGTAGTCAAGCGCTTATAGGACGGCTCCACGATCTTGCATGGCCCACACCAATCCTTGTGCACGTCAACAACTGCCGCAGCATGGTTATCAACCGCCTGCAGCCATTTCGATTGCTCCAGGAAGTGGGAAACGCACAGACTAACTTCTTTTCGCTGCTCTCCAGCACTTGCACCCAGTGCTCAGCGTCCCGAACCTTCGTCACCAACTCCATCGCTGCAGTTTCTACCCAAGTGGCTCTTCAGATTTCTTTGGCGACGCTTGACAAGTGAGTGCAATGATCCAAAGAATATTTTACTAGACTTGCGATAAATTTAGTTGGGATGAGTGTCACTGTAAAGCTCCTCATTCGCGCCACCGGTAGTATTTTTTTACTCACAAATATTCGGAAACAAACAAAAATGTTCGGAGGATAGCTTACTCCAGCGATAAAAGTGGTAGTTAGTGTGGCAGCTACCAACTCTTTCCGAATTACTCACAGACCTCACCCGATTTGCACGAAAGATCCGGTGAAATGAGGCTCCCCTCAAACACACAGTTGGCGTCTTCCAAGGCTCCTTTGGCGCCTCTAAATCCAACTAAGCTCTCTTAGTTTTACGTGTTGCACAAGTACTCTGTTCATTTTTAGAGTCTTGGTTTGTGTCGCGATTATCGTGGGTTCTACGACTAATCGAGTCGAGCGTGCGGCAAAATAAGTAATAACACGATAGCGTTTTGTTTTCGAGGGAGGACCATTGTGCCAGACTAAAATTTAGTCCGAAAAAGCTACAATGTTTGGGATATACGTATTTTAGTTGTCGAAGAATGATACAAACAGTTTCAAGACTGCAGGTTACTGGGTTACTGACACAAGACTAATTACACGTTTTTCCACGGCCACTTCGTAGTCGTAGGCTACACATATACACTTCCTGTCCTCAAAATTTTAAATCAGGTTTGTCATTAGAGTAATATTAAACTACTTCATACCGGTCGTAGTCTCTGGGAGCGACCTGGCTTTTATTTATATCATGTACTACAGGATATCAGATTATTAAAGTACTGCAGCCAGGTGCCTCTATTAGAGTAAGTTTAAAAAACTTCGTATACAGTTCACCACACGAACCAGATCAGCAGCAAAAAAATTGGCCGGAGCCGCCGGATCGACAGTTTCATGCAACTCCCAGTTTTCGGAGCACACGTTACCAGTACGCCAACCGGATGCTGTAACCCATGACGCCGAGCCGTCGCCCCACAAGATCCGTCCGATTTGTCAGCAGGCAGATCGATCGTCGTTTCGTTCTTCGCTGCAGATTGAGGCTGAACAAGCTAACGATGGCGAAGTTATGGATTTCAATGGTATCGTGGATTCTGATTTCTCGTCAAGTGATGAATCTGATGCTCAGACTGTGGCTTGGCTTATCATTTCGGTTGAATTTGAATCTCGGCAGTCGTCGGATGCTGCGTCAGAGCTATCAGCTACCGATGCTAAGGTGCAACGTACTGTCCAGACTCTGCGACTATCGCTGCTGACTACCCAAATGGCAGCGTCTCGTTAAAAAATCCGATTCCGATGCTGACTCAACGGCGACAGTCGTTTTTGATTCCGATGATGACAGTGACTCACCTTCTCGTGAAGAGGCAATTGCTCTGTCGTCGGCAGCTCCTTCTCCTGCAGATGGGAAAGTTCAGGTAGCAAGCACCGAAGAGCTGCCTCTAGATGAATTTCCGACACCAGAAACGGTCTCAGGGACCGATCACCAAGATGCTAATACCGATATAGTACCGGTGGGAGAAAGAGCCACGCCACCTGACGCAATGTCTACTTCTTCTCCAGTGAATGGACGTCCGGTGGCTCCAGCGTCACGTCGTTCTCTTGGCGGCGTACGGGTCGTGGCCACGCTGTCAGACCTCTAACTCGGAATCGACAATCGCTGCGTCCAAATGTATCGCTTTCTGCGGTTGTACGCATTTCGCAGCCCCTTGCACGCTTCTCGGAGCAGGTAGCCAGGTGGGCTTCGCTCTACATACTCCTTTTACTCTTCGTGTGCGAGCAAGTGCTGGATTCAAATCCTGAACAATCGACTTTCATCTCCACTGCCGCCGAAAAACACTTGCTGTGTCAAGTTCATCCGAGCTTTCGCAAACTTCCGGGAACCGGATCATCCGTGGCAGATAGCTTGTCGTTTGATTCCTTCACACGCTTGTCGCGTTGGAACCGAAGAATTCGATGTCGACTCTCACGTTTCGCAGCGAGCTCCTCCACTACGTCGTTTTAAAGGATATTGACGTAAGCTTCGTTAGGATGACCCCGAAGATGACTGTGATCTTGGATTCTCACTCTGGAAGCCAAATCACTGGTCTGCAGCTCGCACCATTGAGCTCGGCTTGGAGGCTGATAACCGAGCTCTCGTCGAAGACACCACACTCTCGAACAATGCTAAAATCCGCCATCAAGCTTGATTTAGACGACGCCAGGGCGGCCTGGGATGAAAATGGCATCGGCCGGACCAAGCGTGCTGATCAACGTCGCGTCAAGATCATTAGTAACGTGTAGAAATGGTGTGTCAGCGCTGAGTCCCGGTTCGGTGATATCATTCCTGAAATTTTGTTTGAGCCGTCGATGCCTGGCTATTTTTTTTCTCGAATATCTGACTTGGATACCTCCGTCTTGAGCACATTCCGGCGTTGGACACCGCCGAACCATGGCGTATTGGATGGGTTGACACACCTGATCTGCACCCGTACAACACGACACCCGCACCATGTAATGTCGGATTTCTGCTGTTCATTCCTGCTGGTGAAACCCGTGAGTCCGTGGACCACCAGATTGAAGTGAATGTGGTGTTGGAATTCCCACGTGAACTCTAGCTACAAATGTAGTTAGGATGTTCCCACAACAATACGTCTACTAGGATAGTAAACGATCGTTCGGGCGGACCTGAAGACCCCAGTTCTGCCCTTGCACCGGGACAAACTGGACCTTGTAAACTACTTATATAGGCCAACCAGTAAAATAAGAACACGCTACTAGCACGAGCAAAGCTAGCAGGTGTTTTGAATCCTCGTGGTCCCAACAGCGGAAGGGTACCAGGCACGGGTAAGCCTTTTACGAGATCACCGAGTGTTCAACACTCGGCTGGAAGAAATAAAGGGGAGGCAATTAAAGCACTCCCAGTCGTGCAAATAGGCAACAATAAGCCGTCACGTAAAACCTCCCGATAATAATCGGCCAATACACAAAGTCTCTTGGCCTTGCCGGATGAACCCTCGCTACAGAGCTTCGAGTTCACCGACAGGCATAACACACTCAACAAGCTTGACCTGACGCTTACCTTGAAGCCGGACGTCGCTCTGTGTGCTTGAGTGGAAATTCTGTTCTGTATTTAAGCTTTCCTTTCGGGTCTATTCCTAATAAGAAGTCCTAATCAAGTATACAAATATCAAGTGAACAATGATCCGTTATGGATCTTCTT